TGTGTTCGGGGATAACTTCGTCATTTATGACCTGATTTTAATGATTCTTTTTTTTGTTGGAAAGGAGATATCGTAAGGGTAGTACCATGAGGAAATCCAGATCTGATGATGGCGTCCCAGAGAAATCGAGAACAGATGCGGGTATCGCACTTGTCAAACATATTTATAACGCCTGGGAAGGGTCGCAAGATGCAATAGATGTTTTTTGCGACCTTTCAAAAGCTTTCGACTGCGTGGATCACAAAACCCTCCTTCTAAAGCTTGATTATTATGGCATTCGTGACATCGCCCTCAATCTCATTGCTTCTTACCTTAATAATAGAATTCAAAAAGTATCTATAAATGATGTAAATTCCGCAGGGTCCCCCATGAAAATGGGTGTCCCACAAGGATCGATCTTGGGCCCATTATTATTCTTAGTATATATAAATGATCTCCCCTTTTATGCCAGTGAGTTATGTGATGTTGTACTGTTTGCTGACGACACATCGCTTATTTTTAAGGTTGACCGAAATGTATCGAATTATGACGACGTGAATAGTGCACTTTCGCGTATCCTCCACTGGTTTACCATTAATAATATGGTGTTAAATGCTAAAAAAACTAAATGCCTTCTTTTTGCCCTTCCCAACGTAAGAAGGCAAAGTTTTAGCTTAAAATTGAATAGCGTAACCCTTAATCCTGTTGAGTCCGCTGTATTCTTGGGAATCACAGTAGATTCAAAGCTCCAATGGAGTTCCCATCTATCATCTCTTGCGAATAGGTTAAGCTCCGCTGTTTTTGCAATTAGGAAGGTTAGGCAGCTATCAGACATCGACACTGCCAGACTTGTTTACTACAGTTATTTTCACAACATCTTGTCGTACGGCATTTTGTTGTGGGGTAGTGCATCTGATATAAATTCAATATTTATTATTCAAAAAAGAGCTGTCCGAGCAATTTATAACATCGGAGCCCGGAATACACTCAGAGATCTTTTTTAAAGAGATTAATATACTCACTGTTGCGTCTCAATATATTTATTGTAATATTTTGTATGTTAAACAGAATATTAATAATTATCAAAAGAATAGTGACAGACATAAACTAAATACTAGAAATAAGGACAAACTAACTACGCCATTATTTCGCCTACAAAAAGTAAACAGATCGTTCATGGGGCAAAGTGTGCGCATGTATAATAAAATCCCACAGTCGATGTTAAGTCTGCCACTTGATGAATTTAAACGAAAAATTAAAAGTACACTTATGGCTAAAGCCTATTATACTACTGCCGAATATCTTGACGACGCCAATGTGTGGGGTTAATACTGTTGATACTCACGTAGGCTAAAACAAGACTATTGTACCTGTACTATTATATTGTAATCTGATTTTTTAAAAAAGAGCAACTGTTGAGTTTCTTGCCGGTTTCTTCTCAACAGAAACTGCTTTCCGAACCGGTGGTAACTTACGAACGTGTTAATTTCTTGTAAAATTTTGACGTTTCATAAGAACGCGCAAGCGTCTATGTAAATAAAGATATTTTATTATTATTATTATAATCCTCAAATGTTATAAGGGTTAACAATGTCTTTTTAGTTTTCTGTTTGAAGTCGGTTTTTTTTTTGTTCAAAATTATATGTCATCGATATTCACAAAGAAATGAATTTTGATTACTGGATCGCTATAAAAATAAAATCGGTATTATTATATATCGATTGTCATTTAACATACTTAGCTTACCTATGAGATTTCCCTTATTCCCTTAGTCTCATATGAATTTGTGCAAGAAGTCGTAATACGATCAATGATATAATCATCAAACCCTTTAAAGGCAAAGGAACCTGCACGACTATTAGATATTTTAGGATTGATTCTCTTATTGTCGAAGTTTTAAAATAAACTTTATTGTGATTTATACTCTGAGCCAAGCATTTTTCATAAACAGTCCGGTTTAATTAAACCGTTGCTTGTACGGATTTTTTCGCATGTTATTTTGATTTTGGATTCTTGACATTTTTAACACTTTTCAACGACCGCGGTTACGGAACGGAGTTATTTAATTTCATAAACCAATATAAAACAAAATAGAAAGAAGAGAATGAATGTGATGTTAATGAGAAATAAATAATGATGTTTAATGTCATATTGTAAGAGCTTTGGCTTGCTATAATAGATCAACCTGTATATAACACAATCCAATTTAATACTCTCCGACGCAGCAAGCCCACATCTCAGAAACTTCTGCAATCAACATATATTATCGCAAATTATGCAAATCTATATTACGTATTGACTAATCCAGCACAATGATTGCAGATAACTTTTATAATACTTTTGTAAAGTTATCTGATTATTACGAGTATGTCAGTTTGACATAACCTTTGAAGACAGATTCATTTTACATTTAAACGTAGAAAATTTTAAGATTTTATGCATTCAATGAATAGTTTTGAATTTATATTTCTTTTGGCGCATTTGAAAAAAATATAAAAATAATTTATAATGCACGCGCGCACCGACCCTCAAACAGCGACATGATGATGTTGATTACGAAGCAACAAACTACACAGCATTACCAATTCCATGTTATTTAAATAAACCGTTATCAATTGCATTTAATTTCTTTTTCACAAGCAAAGAGTATAAAATTTTTAGTTGTTTTTCTTTTGTTACGCTATGGAAGTAGGTACCTATATCTTCTTACGTACGTACATACGTACGTAGTACACACAAACGTTTTTTTAATTGCGTAGAAAAGGTGTTTTACAAAATTTTGCAAGTAAGTCGTAGTATACCTATATAAATTATATATTACAGCGGTAGCAGTTGCAACATGACAATACAACATCAGTTAGTGTTACTAGAGACTAAATGCATTTAATACTATGGTGTTTGTTGGACAAAACAGGGAATTTTTAAATTGTTAGCATAGGTATTAGCAACTTTTAATATAGTGAGCCCCGGCTACCTCATACACCAGATGAAACGCAGTAGTTTAACACTTCTACTTCACACCGGTCCTCTGAATGGACTTGCCCATTGGTGCAACAGCAATCACTGTTGCGTGGCCCTGCCATAGTTATTTTTCTTTATATTTAATTTTTTAGTTTTATCTTTTTTATTTTTTGTTATTTAGTTTTTTAAGCTATTGCATAGCTTATATCGGCTTTGAGCGCCGCGACCAAATCAAGAAATTCCGTAATGAAAATAAAACCTAACACCCCTCCACTCCGCCTACCATGTAGCTCGGCCGAGCGTTCGCTTAACATGTATGTATATGGTACGAAACTCGCACGGATGAATATTATCATATGTTGATATGATATTTAGAAGATATCAAATCTCAAACTTATGTTTCTTATTTCAGTTACCATAAATCTATAGTTTCAATGATAAAAATTCGTGAATAACCAACATGTACTCGTATTGTAAGATAATAAAAATATTTTAAACGATATTAAATTCTCATTTATTCAATAAAAGAAAAAAAATATTTTCTTATCGGTCACCAAGCTCTAAAAGTGAAACTTGAATTAATATCAAAGAAAAAAAAATAATTATAATTGCATAAGTTGATAAAAAATGCTACGCAATAGCTTTACCGCGGCAGTCCCAGAGTGCCTCAGGTTTTTTATTTAGTAATTAAATTTATTAGCAATTAAATTAAATTTACCATAAACTAACAACCTGCAGACCTCACATTTTCAAGTTGACATGCAGAGACTAGTTTTCAACCGACTTCAAAAAAGGAGGTTCTAAATTCGACTGTATTTTTTTATGTTTATTACCGCGGAACTGTCGACTTTAGTGAACCGATTTTGATGTTTCTGTTTTTTTTGCATGCATTCAAATATCAAATTTTTTACACTATTTTCATCATTATCATCATTTCAACCTCTTTGAGTCCACTGCTGAACATAGGCCTCTCACACAGACTGCCACAAAGTACGATCCATCCATCGACTTCCCGCACATTTACACAGGTCGTCACACCATCCAGTGGGGGGTCGTCATACTGCTATGGCCAGTACGAGGCTGCCTTGTTGAGAACCTTTCTTCCCCAAACGTTCATAAGCTGCGTCAACCAATACAACTGTAATATTAGGTGAAACACGAACGACTTGCAACCGCCTCACAGAAAAATGGAATGCCGCTTTTTATTCAGTTTCATTTTAATCTACAAAAGACTAAGAAACATTAAACTTAAAACGACGATGGGATTTTCCAACTCCAATGTAATGATATTAATATTCTATAACGATTCTATAACGATTATAAATGGATTATATATTATTATTATATATTATGGATTATATACATGGATAATATATATATTAAATGAATTAACGTTGGAATCAAGGAACTCTGCTGTTTATATGGAATATTTATCTATTTGAGTGTTTGTGAGTGTTACGTTTCACACGGCAGCGTAATTTGCATTATGTAGAGTTCGGCGCACCTATCACGCGTCCATGCACTCCCCGTCATAGCAGCACCCTAACATTCCCGCCTGTTAAGTGAAATACACACAAAATTATCACTTTGATCGCGTTAATTTGGCATAATAAGAATGATTTTATAATATGAACATTTCTATACGATACTGATGAGTTATCGTTGGTATATTCTAAATGGTTAAGTTTCTTAACATGTATGGAATGGGTAATTAGAGCTGTGATAGCTCAGTGTCCGTACGCTCGCCTTTAATTCAACATACTCAAGCAACCTAATTTAGATTCCCGGTGGAGGCACCAATGAGATCGCTACTTTTAAGTGGTGCATGCATCGTGTGGAAACCTGCATAATATTTTCGAAATAATGACAAAAAATATTTTGTGGATATGTGAAGTCCCTCACTTTATGATTCGCAAGTTTCAAAATTTATGGCTAGATTGTAGGGGTTCGCAAATAGCAACAGTCATAGTATTATTTCATAAGAATATTAAAAATGCAGTGAACATATCCACATGGTAGTGATACATGGGATATATTTTCTTCGTTATTCCAACCGTGTCATGCTGGAGATGGTCATCTACTCTGGTAAAGTTATAAAGTGGTTAAAAAAAGAGAAAAAGAAAAGTTAGAATATTGAACTAATATTTATCTAGATTAATAATAATTATCAAGATTAATCTAAAATTACATATTATATGAAAGGAAGTTAAGTCCCCATGTGATTTTTCTGTAGGGATAAGTTAACAACTTTGAGTGAGATTTAGTTAGACAAAAATCCTGTTTCAAATAAATGCAGGTAATATTTAACGGTGATCGCTTATCATCATATTCTTTTTATAAATTTTTTTATTACATAAAGAATCGCGCGGGGAACCATTTATCTAATATACTAGGTAAACAAACCTATTTAAGCCAATTTCTTGATAGTTTATTAATATATCATTTTAAAAGTTACTTAATATTTCAAGTGCCGCGAGTAATATCTATTTAACACAATTCAATGGTATTAATTTTGATAAGAACAAAATGTACGCAATTCGACATGAATTTCAGCAATAGTTTTTTTTTTATTTAATAAGGAATGCTTTAATGTTTGGTGTATTTTTTATACTCAAACGAAAGGAGATAATTACAAAGCTTCGCGGCTTTTCTCGGAGGCCCTGAAGACGATCAGTAAAGTCGTTTAAGTCCGTTTCAGAAAGGATAAAAAGATCTTTGAAAAGGATTCTTGGTATTACTGGGAGGTTTCCGTTACACAGGCGCGTAACAAAACATAGCTGAAAAGAAACATCTTTCATTTTTACGAATCGAATCCTATCTCATTGAAATTTTAAATCATTATAGCTAAAAAGGCTGAATCGATTTGGAATAAAAAAATATTTATCGTCATTTCCGAAATGTAAAAAATGTATTTATAGTACGATATGAATAAATCTACAGTTTTAGTCTCAATCCGTTAAAATGTGGGTGTTCTTACTGCTCATATGTACAGTCTATTTATGGAAACAGTTAAAGCAAGTGAAGTGTTAGTATTAAAGAATAACTGTTCAATTATTTAATTCAATATGTTATATATGCTACAAATATAAACAAAAAAATAACTCTAAGTGTAGTGTAGACAAAAGAACTTTAACAAGTATTGTCTATAATACTAGTACAGACAAACAAATTATAACATAGGAAATTTGTGATACCTACATAATAAGTATAGTAACGCTGTAGAGATTTGCGTTCTGTATTTCTGTTCGGTGTAAAGGCAAACTGAAAGCGTTAAGGAAAAGGGACAGCTGAAGGGGAAGGTTTCTGTAAACGGAACAAAAACACCAACGTTATTAGCGAGATTGTTGTAATCTGACTAATCTATTTTGGCAAAGGGGACGCCGCCGGGCCCCAGAAGTGTCAATTAATATATAAACATTTCCCGCGAAGAAACGGCATGGATTTGACGAACGCAATTGCGTAAGAAAATTATCCACGGATTTAATAAAAGGCTGAACTAGATTTGATTACACTTGCACGTTTTCTGGCAACTAGTCACTTAAGCCTTTTCTAGTATGTTACTCCGTTGTAATAAAATATTAAAAAAGAAATGTCAAACAAACTACAGGTTTTCTGTGAGCTCTTCCCTGGACCGGTTGAAATTTGTATACCGATGACAGTATTTGATTTCATATTTCCGTTAAGTTCTATTTGTAGCAACCAATAAATATGTACATTGTTTAAATTATACTGTAAATCGTTGCTGTGATTGAATTGTTTATAAAAGAGATTAGCCTTAAAATTTTGCTAAGGACATATGATATTTATATTTGTATACTTTTATTGTAACATTTAGATATATTTGCATACCGATAAATGTATATATGTATTTTTAATTTGTATGAAGTTATAGTTGAACACAATTCTTTTGTTGTATAAATATACAGGGAGGTTTTTCGAGTGTATCCATTTTTTTATTAAATTGTAGACATATAAAAATTATGAATATTTAAAATCCGTCCTAATTAATTAAATAACTTCATTTAAACTTATCTCAAAAAGTGCGTGATTTATTGGCAACTCATTTATTTTACGCGCGATCATTCATAGCTAACACGCTCACATCGTATCGTCAACAAGTTCTGTTTTTTAGGGAATGGAATGGCAATTTTTTTGAAAAAAACGTTTGTTATTATTTCAATTAACGATTATACTACTGAGTTTGAACCCCTGTGTGAATTTGGGCATCATTACAAAAGCCACCCTGTATAAAGAACATCTACGTTATTTATTTGTGGCGTTTAACAATCTTTCAATTACGTCATTCTTAGTTATGTTGTCTTACGAAAAGCATGATTTCATAAAATAGCGTAATGCACTTGCAGTTGTTTATTTTTAGTCAACTTACTAGTCAACTGTTGCAGGGGATCGCTTACTTGACATTCCCTGCAACGTGTGCGGAGACAGGAGCTCTGGGAAGCACTATGGCATATACAGCTGCGATGGTAAGTTGAATGAGAACATTTCAGAATACATTTTAAACAAACTTCACTATGACAGTAATCGGCCTCTGCGTTACCACCTAACGAATAGCTAACCAGCTAATATGAGTTGTCTTAACGCGAATATTTTAGGCATCTCGCTCAGCCCTACTCTGATCTCACAAATTAGTGAAATTAATAATTAACGTCTAACTTATCACAGAAATTATGATAGTTAGAATGTAAAAGTAATTTGGTAATGATATGTTTTATATGAATTAAAAAATGATTTCAACATTTTTAATTCATTTAAAATATATCGTTCCACCCAATTAAATCGTGTTGTTTTCAATAAATTAAATGTTTAATAGACAACAAAAACAGAATGAAAACGTCCAATTTATTACTTTGCTACGACATTTAAATCTCTTAACATGTTAAGTCCTCGCAATATTTAAGATAATATGTTAAACATTTATTGCGTTTCATTAAGAATATCCATTATATATTAATTATAAATTAATACAATACGGGGTAATTTAATATAATATCAACGCATCAAAAGTATTAATTTGAGATCATTTAAAAAGGTAGGCAACGCATCTAAAAAGATGTCCTTAGGTGTTGTAGTTGTCCATGGGAGTCAGTCTATCGAATCTCTTCACATCAGGTGAACCGCCGGCTCACTTGCCAACCAGTTATATAAAAAATACTAGCTTTCCGCTGCCCGACTCGCTGGGTCATACCATCTTCTTTAAGTCAAAACAATATATGACAATTCCTTGTTCGTAGGCTGCTCCGGATTCTTCAAGCGCTCAATCCACAGGAATCGGGTGTACACATGTAAAGCTGGGGGTGAGCTGAAGGGCCGCTGTCCAGTGGACAAGACGCACAGGAACCAATGCCGTGCCTGCAGGCTCGCTAAATGTTTTCAAGCAAACATGAACAAAGATGGTAAGTCCTTAACAAACGTTACTGGCGATCTAGAATTCAAAACTGACCAAACGTCTCTCGCACTTGATTATTATCATGGTGGACCAAGGTCTGGCTTTTAATTCAGTGCCTTTACTTGAGCTGAGCAACTCGAATCAAAATATCAGTGAAGGGACCAATTAAATTGAATGAAAATATTTGGCGCCAATTACTCCTTCTACTACTAGTCAAGGAAAATATCTGTCGGAAACCTTCATATCACGGAATAAAAAATCTGCTAACACGCATTGGCGCTACACTACAAATGGCAATATGTGCTAGGGAAATTGCCTAATACAGAAAAGGCGTTTGCCCAGTAGTTGTAGGCTCTTATGTAACGCATAAGCCGTTATTTAACACTCTATTAATCAATTTATATATCGCTTAGATAACTTTGACGTATAGGTAATTACCTAAATAAAAAATATATAGGGTATAATGTTTTGGAATTAAGCATCAAATGTTAAAACGTTAAAACTGTGGAACCGTAGTAGATTATTATTCTAGGTATAATTCTTTCATAGTTATATAAATTACCCAAAAAAAATTTACTATTACTATTTTATGGTGCGTTGCATCAAAAAGGAAAAATGTATAAATAATTTAAAAAAAACACAGAAAGGGCTCTTATATGTGATCTATTTCAATACAACTCTACTACGTACACCCACTCATAAATGTTGATAGTAAAAAAAATTACATATAATATCAACCTGCAATATAAATAATACGCCCTTCGGCTATACCAGAAATGACATTAATGTTGCAGTAAAAACTACAACACTAATTTTCTGTCATGATATTATCAATTTATAACTATACACGTAACAAGACATTAATTGAAATGCACTATTTGTTTAATAGCGAGTAATGATCCGCCGATCCTTTACTTACCAGTAACGCTTTTATTTTACACATTTAACTCACAATGGAAGACGATGGCGGATGGCGCGACGCTCCGAAGTTTCGATCACGCTCGCAGCGGGTTGCTTTGTGCTTACGTTGAAATACTGGAAGTAATAAAAGTGGATAACGTCGCTGGCGGCAGCTTCCATTCTCACGGACATGCGAAACATCCGTCATTACGAGTGCTCCGTGTATCCGATATTGGATCCGGCCGCCCTTTGTCACCTTTATTCATAGCTTGTTTGAAAATATCATGTTTTTATTTTAGACGAAGGACTGAACGTTAATGTGTTGCACTTTCGGATACTTTATGGAATTGCATTTTATTACTAATTATTGGTATCTAACTCTCTTTTAACACTTGTATTGCGAAATCAATTTACTTCAATTGAAAGAAAGAAAAGAAAGAAAATACATTTATTTACCAAAATCGTGCGTCCTTTGCACGCAATAAAAGAGAAAGAAAAACTAAAATTAACAAAAAATAAAAGAAAATAAAAAAATTACTTATAAATAATTCAGTAAAGCGAAAGAACACAAATACATAATTAAAATATAAACAAATGAAAAATAACTTTAACAAACCATAAATATTGCATGCAATTGATATGAATAATAAAAATATGATGATATCTGAAAAAAATCATCCGTGTGGAATATACCCAGTTATGTGCCTTATGTTATGTAACTACCACACGTACCTATATGTGCGCTTGTATGTGCGCTTGATACAGAATAAAAATATAATTTTACTACAAAATTTAAACTAAGACAAATTATGAAAATAAAAACAAACTTCTAGAATCAAACCCGTAAAGTTTCAGTTCCTTATTTGCATATAAGGTTAAATCTCAGCAATTAATATATTCATAGTTTTATTCCGGAATATTCAACGTGGTAAGTCAGGTGGTATTTCACACTAGGGTAACATTTTTCCTTGGATCTTAATACGTTACTTTATTAATATTTAGAATCTTATTTGATAAATTTTATTGCATTTCAATCAAGTGCGTCCTAACTAATTCTTCCAATTTCTAAGGGACAAAAATCTTTTTTATATACAAAAAAATCAAGTAAAGGAATAAAAAATTATAAAATTTCGCATTTGTTAACCTAATCCCTAAGAAGTGAAAGTTTTGTAACTTAATATTTGTGGAATTAGTTTCATGGATTTATCTCAAATTCCCAATACTATTTGTGTTTCCAGCTTAGTAAGAACTCTTCTTAGCTTTAATAACACAAGGGAATTCAACGTTAACTGATTAACGAATTTAAAATTAATTCGTGTAATATAAAATCAAAGTTAAACGCGATAAGATCCGTAGAATAGTTTCAATTAACCTAACTTGAAAAATGTCAACATGTTGTAAAGTACACATACTCAGTCAGTTGGTTAAACTGTAAAAGTCCTCCCTCACCCAGTTATCTGTTTACTGGCGAGCATTTTCTACGCGCTTCTGTCTAACAGCTCCTTCACGAACACTTTTAAAAAGGCGATAGACATCGGCATTCGCTAGGACAAAAAAGTACCTAATCTGACCACGAGCTATCGTCCGATGAGCCACCTCGATTGCTTAGGCATTTCTAAACATTTTGAAGGACTATGTTTACTCTAACTCTGAATCACCTAATCAATCCTGTCCCGAACAGAGCTTTCGCCTGACGGAGCACATTAAAGACCTCAATAACTGAATATAGGTTTTAGTGCACTCTTCATCTATGTCGCACACACATTCCAAAAGGTCTGTATGCATTAATCATGTCAGACGACCTAACGCACACCATTCTATCCTTTCTGTTGAATCGCTCTATCCGATACTGAGTTGAGCTATCCGAACTTTGCTATGAGCTGCCCCCTCAGTGCAGGCTCAAGGCTCCTTGTCCGGCTTGTCTCCCTTGCACTTTTCTCTCTTCGTCAGCTACATCCCTTAACAACCGACCTCACGCTTTTCATGGATGACACTGCTCTCTTCTACTCGGACAAATACCTTGCTTAAATGACTATTCACCTCCAAGGCGTTGCCAATCGCCTCGGTGACTGGTTTCGCAACTTGAGAATAGATGATGATTTACTCCGAAAGGTCATAGTAATACATGTCACTCGGGCTAACGCCGCAGCCAACGCTAACCTCCCACACCTTGTAAAAAGAAAATCAAACAAAGCTCAAAATATGCTGTGGTAAATCACCTTGTTCGGCCAACCGGTCCTCTTATACCTTCTGGCCAAAGATCTATACTCAGCAGTAGGACATACACAATCAGAATGTCAATTACGTCAAAAGTTTCACGGTGGTAGGGCCACGCAGCAGCCTCGGCTGTTGCACGAATGGGCAGGCCCGTCCGGGTAAGTACGACCTCGTAAAGTGGAAGTATGACAATTACTTTCGCGTTTCGTCTGGTGAGTGAGGTAGGCGGAGCCCAATTTTCAAAAGGTTGTCAGCGCATCTGTAACCCTCGGGTGTAGCAGATGTCCATGGGCGGCGGTATTCACTTAACATCAGGTGAACCGTCTGCTCGTTTGACAACTTTTCGCATAAAAAAAAAGTACCTAGTCCAGCCATAAGTTCTGTTACAAATGCATTTTTTTTTAAATGAAGTAATGCAATATTATTAAAATTTATACCTACATATTTATTATACGTATACATATTTTTTACGTCTCAGCAAAAAATAAAAAAATATTCTATTCGAAATGGCCAGCTTTAGCTTTTATACAGGCCTTTAATCTCTTTGGCCACGAATCTATGGATTTACGCACTGTTTCCAAGGGAAATTTGCTTGCTCCAAAGATTTTTTAAGAGACTCAATGTCGCCGTGTCGTTTAGAGTAGGCCATGTCTTCTAAAACTGACCATAATTTGAAGTCTAAAGGGTTGAGGTCTGGAGGCTTGATGAGGGCCAGTCTTCAACTCTTTTAAGTCCGGAACGTTGATTTCAAGCCAGGCTTGGGTAGTTCGTGTCTTGTTACCAGGTGCAGATTCCTGCTGGAAAGTCCGCGGTATATTTTTAAAAAGTGTATTGCTGAGAGGTTTCATAACATGATCCAAGACTGTATCTTGATACACTTTGGCTGAAGTTTTCACTCCTTTTTCACAAAAATGTAGTTTTGTGACTCCTTGATAAGACACGCCCCACCAAACCATCACTGAAGCAGGATGATGACCACGTTGTACTTTTCCGACAACTTGAGCAGCTTCTTTAGAACTGTGAGCGTACACTTTATCATTTTGCTTAGTGTAGTGTTCTTCAATTGTGAAAATTTATTCATCGGTAAAGAGGATATTTCTGTGCCATTCACCTGCGTATCGCGACAGAAGGCGTTTGATCGATCCACTCTCTTTAATTGTAAAGATTGATTTAGGCATGCCCTGTATATCGGCGATAAGCACCGAGCTTCAGGTCTTGTTTTATAATACACGACAGAGTCCTAGCGGGAATCTTCATTTCTCGCGATAAGATTTTTCGCTTCCTAATGGGGTTTCGACGAATTCTGGCTTTAACAGCAGCCCCGATCTTTTCTGGTCTTCGACAGACCAAGTGTTGCTGTATCTGTTAATAGTACGATATACGAACATTCGGCTGATACCAAGCTTTTGAAGTGTCTGGAATATGGTCGACGGCTCCATACCCACTTTGTGCAAGGCGATCACTGCAATCCTATTTTCTTTAACACCCCATTCCATATTGTAATTTGATAATGAACACGAAAAAATATGTGAAATGGCGCAAAATCGAAATAAGTTTTTAAAATAATATACGTGTTCCAATTTCAAAATAATTAAAAAGTTGAAAAAAAGCAAAGTTTTTATGTAACAGTATTTATGGCCAGACTAGTTATATGTTTATAAAACTGTACCTTTATAAACATGTATGATTTATGTAAATAAGTATGATTTAAGATGTAATTGTTAAATGTTAATATAGACAGTTGTAATTGTAATTGTATTGACAATTGTAATTGTTAATATAGACAGATGTGTAATGTATTTAGTTACAATAGTTAAACCTCGCTACGCCTTAGGCCGATACAGAAAACATACTTACGGCGCCTTAGTTTTCTATTATTTGTATTGCAAGGCAGTGTAACAAAGACAAAAAAATAATTAATAAAAGATAATATGGCCCATAGTCTGTAGATCTCTGTAGAGAGCGCATGCTGCGGTCCCGCCGCAGGTGCTGCCTCGCTGAATAATTCACGAGCATCACTTTGTGCCGCCGCGACCCGGATTACCTTTATATGTTTACCCTCTCGCGTAATTATACGCCCTCACGAAACTTAGACGCCGTGAAAACGGCTGAGGCGGCTTCATCTGCATGGCTCCATCATTCCATAGAAGAGGACTTAGTGAATCTTATAGAGATCGCATAAATCGCGATGTTAACGTATACCGCAGCATGTATTGAATTTTAAATCGGATTCTTATCTTAAAAGTTCAGCGTTATATTACAATTCAATTTAAATAAATTGACTCTGTGTCTTTCATCATACATTGAATGTGGAATAACTAAAGCATGTGTTGTAAAGCGATGGTAGAGTGATCTCTAACATCTCTTAATCGAGAGATTTGTTAAGTTTTTCAATATTGTCATTAAAATATGACTGATCATACCATCTGCCTAATCTGTCCGTCTCGCCGAATGCTTTCAAGCTAACCTAATCTTATTATAACCTTAAGGTAATAGGCCCGTATCTACCCCCTAAGATTTAAAACTGTTGTCCTTCTAGCTCGCGCTACTTAGTCTCTAACGAGACAAGAAGTACACCAAGCAGAAACTAAACAAAGATTTTAACACATGCCACATCCTGTTGGAGCTTGATCTAGAGATCTTAAATATTAAGTTATGACCTCCCAGCCATATACAAAGCAAATGTACTAACTAGATATACAACATGGAGAAACATTTGAGTACAATATAAGAGTAATAATGCAAACGCGTCAACGCTAAGTGCCTTCTTGCATTGATAAATTGTGAACACTACGGAATAATTTAGCGCGACGGAGTGAATTGTACGAAATAGCGACTTCGGGTGGGAGCGGGGTAAGCCGATAGCGATTTATAATTCATGCATTTTCACTTCGACTAGGTCGCTTACCGGCCACAACCGCAGAATAATGGATTAACTCGGTAAATTAATCGGGCTGGAGACAGGCAACCGTCTGATGTCACCGAATGTTCCTTCGGTACATTTATTCGGATGAGAACGAGTTTGCGTGCTTCTGCTGAAAGGTTAGAGCGTTTTAAAGTTTGGTTTTAAAAAAAACTGAAAGAGTCGTGATAATACATTTTCCGGGCGCTCGCTTATAGTTCATATAGTTAATATACTTGAGTGAACTGAGTTCAATCCCCGATGTCGGAACCAATGAAACTCTTAATTTTAAATGCTGACTTATCACGTTCTCAGCGGTGAAGGAAACCCTATATATTTTCGAAATAATAACGTAACAAATCAAAGATATATGAATTCCATCATTCCGCAGTGGAGCTGATGATTATAGCCTAATACCCTCTGTACAGAAGAGCATTTGCCTAGAAGTGGGACACATGTAGGCTGTCACTTTACTTAATTTTTTTTCTAATACAATGTACGGTATATATTATATAATATATACCGTACTTTGTATTTACACACACTTCTTTTAGTCGTGATAGAGTTTTAGGTTCAAAAATACGTAAATACTAGTAAATACTAGTCATAATATTGGTACTTGGCATAATTTATGCTAATTCATGTCATCAGTTTTAAGAAACGGTGAGACTTTTGAGCGGATTGAAAACCGAAGCCAAATACTATAAATATATATTGTTTAACAATATTAATTTGACGATTTCACTTTCACACATATTAACATATTGATCTTCTAATATTTATAGCAACCGGAGCAACCACAAAGTTCACAGAAACCGACAGATTACCTGCCGAAACGTTCAGTTATAATTTGAAATAAAATGTGTTAAAATTAAAAAAATAAAACAAAATAATTTCATTTGCCAATTAGTATTTAATGAAGTAGGTAAAATTACTGTAGGCGATTTTTTTCCATTATCATTTCGCCTACATATACAATACAGGGGGTACATCCCCCGAGTGGCAGAAGACGTCAACGAGCGAGATTAAAGAAAACATAAAACGGTTGAACTCACGTCCGGTGTATGTACCTATATTTCCGAAACTAGTGAGTATTACGTTAATAATGTCTCACGATAGTTTTAATAATTTTATATCTCCATTTATGATTGACCTGACAAAGGTCGTAGGTAGTGGCTGGATGAGGAAAGCGGAAGATCTTGCATTGTGACGTGCCCTTGGGGAGGCATATGTCCAGCTGTGGACTGCAATAAGCTGTTTTTCGTAAAACGTTGACTTCAAAGTAAAACGTTACAACTAAACTAACAAAACTACTAACAAAATTACAAAGCAAATATTTACCCCATGTCATTACACAAAATCTCATGTATATTTCAACTGCTAGATACAATATCAAATTTAAATCCAATTACTTACTACTACTTACTATGTAGCTCATTTTCTCTTCTTTTCAGTCTAGTCCACTTATTACTTATTCGTTTTGTTATATGCAAAACCATTTCATAGCGATAATTCTTTTATGTATTTTCCATCTAAAAATACAAACAGAAGACTCAATCGCATTATAATTAAATCACCGATCGAAATGTAGACGTAATCCCCAATTTAACTTTATAAAATTAAATTAAAATCAACGGAGCTGCGAGCAAGCCAGCGCTTCCTTCGAGTTTCGGCACTTTCTGAATTTTACCGTGGAAAGTTAAAGGGTTGATTGATCAAAAAGCTTTTTAGGGTACCCATTTTAATATCATCATCATATCATCATATCATTTTAAATTTTAAAATGAAACAAGGGAAGCAAGGACACATGACACTAAAGTTATTTTATGGCGTAGTGGGTAGTGTACCTGCCTCCTCCGTCAGAGGGTGTGGGTTCGATCCCCAAGACTGGAAAAATATTGTGTGCTGAACATAGTGTTTTTCTAGTGTCTGGGTGTTTATATATGTATAACATGTATTTATTTATGTTAACATGTTTAATGTAGAAAAAGTTCAAAAACATTATTTTTTAGCATTTGAAGCAATGCTTGGCGATACATGTATTTATTAATTCATATTTATTCATCCATTTCATTATTTAGGTCGGGATATTCGTAATAAGAAGACGCCGACAATTATCACGAAGTAAAATCCCAGTGTCGCGAAGACGCATTGCCGTCGGCGCGACGCTGGCGGCCGACAAGGGGCAAACTTTTCAATTACCGTCATGTCGTGTTACCCCGCAGCGGGTTAAATTAATTCCCTCCACTTCACAAAAAGATTCACCTTACCCCACACCACCCCTGTGAACTGACAGCGGCCATCCTGGCGCTTTTTCGGTTTTTTTTCTCCGATATTTTCCGACCCATCCCTAACATGCTGACGTTTCGCAATATTTATTTTTAATTTAACGGTTCGCGCGCAGGATTTGTGTTCCACCGTGCGCTTACCTTTTTGAAGCCCTTTTGTGTTGAAAAAAAAGCATTTAGAATGTAATGAATCGCGCCCCAGCTTCCAACGTCGTTCGCTTTATAGCGTTGTATACGTAATCGTTTCGTAAATCACTTCGCGTTCAGCTATAATTGTTATGCTGAAAACACTTATTTAGTAGGCACTAGATATGTTTAACTCAATCGAAACTTATTTCGAATTAACGCAACCTAGTTCTAAATTGTACTCTCTACGTACCAGAAATATAAATTACAGCTACACTTGAACTCTGTTTTAGAAACATAATTTTCTACGTTCTATTGCGCTCAGCCGTAAACCATTACGAATTGGAGTGCCCATCAAACTAAAGTGTATCAAATGAAATAGAACGCAACTCCTGGGATCATTTTAGGATCAGTAACACGTGTTCAACACCTATTGCTCTCCTGGGTCACGGTGAGGGGCGCGATCGGCGAGGGTGCAAACAATTGCACCATAATAGTGAAATTAGTGATGCTTATGGAACTGTAATTATGGATTAATTTGTTGATAGAATTAAGTTTTATTTATCGCTTAACATGCTTTAATAGTTTAACGTAGTTTTTGTAATAACTTAACACATTTTAATACCTCGTATTTTTAAGTTGTTTCAAGCAATAGTTAATAAAATAAATATTTTTAATCGTCATTGATTTTAAATTGTTTTTTAATTTGTACTTATATATTTTTTTATTTAACTTCATTGCAATAAATCTAGTATTAAGCCTTTATTGTTTGTTAGTATAGACTAACAAACGTAAAAATATTAGTTACAATTCTGAGGTACTGAACACGAATCATGATTCAAAGTGCATTATTGGGAATCGTAACAGTGTTTTGTAGCAAAGTTCTCATACAAAATAGCAGTAAACTCTGCGTTATATATGAGCATATTTTTCCACATGATGTAAAGTGAGAAACTACAACGTTGAAAGTTAAACGTTAGTTCATATTATTTTTATTCTTAATTTTTTAAATGTATATATTTCGATAAAATGAACGTTGCATTAACAATTACAGAAACGTTCACCTTTGATCTGTATTTGTATGAATAGGCAGGTTTTGCAATGGTCTCAACAAAGGGCGAATGAATAGTCGATCTGCGTACGGCTTCGATCCGATTATGTGATTTATTCACCGCTTTACCGGCATCCTCGTCTCGCAAATATAACCTATATTTTGACACGAACCGATTTGTCCCTTCGATCACCCCCCCGTCACGAATCTCGCCGGTCTAATTTCATTTTAATGTCTTGCGTGAACAGATTATTGCTGTGTCATAGCTAATAAAATATATTTTAACTGTTATAGCGGTTGAAGTGTTGCACGCATCTGTTTCGGGGTTTTTGTTTTGCATCGCGTGATAAATAATTGATTTAGGCGGTCGAAACGGTGGGTTGATTGCATATTGTGCGAGAATGTTTATCGTGCGTACGACTTGGAAAACTTACGATAAAAAATCTATTAAAATATTTAATTAATCACAATAACTAATTTAATTAATAAGATTATTTAATTTTTTAAATGACGGATGGCGTAAATCAACGGTGGCTGGGGATTTAGTCTTAATATGTTCGATTCCATAGGCTAATTTAAAGGTGTTCTAAGTGTGCAATAATTAGTGTTCTGGTTTTCGGTTTTTAGGATTCCGTACCCAAAGGGTAAAACGAGACTCTATTACTAAGACTCCACTGTCGGTCTGTCTATCCGTCTGTCACCAAGCTGTATCTCATGAACCGTTATAGTTAGACAGTTGAAATTTTCACAGATGATGTACTTCTGTTGCCGCTATAACAACAAATACTAAAAAAAGAGAATAAAAAAATGTTGAAGTGGGGTTCATATTTTACCGATTGACTGATTTCTTGCATTGACTATTAGAACCAAGGTTTACATTGTCTGAGACAGCATAATACGGAAAAACAGATTGCAGTTTAAGAAAACTCCCTTATGTTAAATCATCCAAAGTGAATAAGCAAAAATTAATTATTATAAGCTCATATTGAATTGTTGATATTGCAACAAGTCAATAAGGTAAATTTATGTTATATAGTAGTAATAAATATATCAACATATGGCGAGCTGATAGCTTAATGCGATTGATATAGCCAAAGTTATGTTATGTGGAGGCAAAGAATCGCAGCTCTAACTTGTTTCGCGCTAAAACACACCGAAGTTCAGAAACCGCTGGCGGAGATCGCCACAACTTCAGAAGGATGAAATTCGTTGCGGACGCGCTTTTTTGTTGCTTATTCTTTAATATTTATTAAAACATGTCAATATCTGCAATGTATAATTGTTTTGACAATATCAACTGTACGTATTTAACATCTTTAGTTATATCAATACAAGATTATCCTACAAAAGTTCGCCAATGCAATATTAGCCTTGGTTTCTTAATATGCCAAGAGAGGTGGTCATCATTTATATATATATATGTATCAGTACCTGGAGGACCGATTTAGCTAGTTTTCATTTTCTAAAAATGAAACCTAGCGAAATCGATTTTTCGCCCTCGAATCTACGCACATACTAAATCCCTGGAGCCATTTCTGAGATTCCGATTATATATATATATAAGAATTGCTCGTTTAAAGGATAAGTTTATATCAGGTCAACTACCTACGGATTTTCACTTTTCCATCGGGAAACCGATTAAATAAAAATGACGAATTAAAAAATTTACCATTTATACATCAAGTCTAAAGGAACTTACTGAGATTCTTTCGCTGGTTCTTCTCAGGTCAGCCACTTTTCTTTTCCAAACCGGTAGTGACAATCAATAAGTAAAATAATAGGAAGGTGAGTGTATTGATGAAGATATTTGAATTCGATTTTGAATTTGGAGAAACTAAACTGACGTATCTCACGTCTATACCCTAATATGGAATCAATCAATGCTTGCTTTTATGTAACAAGCGATCCCTAAGCGATTTTGAAAGTTTTTCACATATCAAACAATCTCCACGGCTGCTGACAGCGTTCTTGGTGCCATACCGCGTGGAGTAAGTTTATTAGATAACATGTAATTAAGTTAGATTTATTGTTATAAATATTGTTAAGATTAATTAAATTAGTTTCTAGTTAATAACGTTTTATTCAAATATTATCTATAGTTAGAAATCCTGACATCGTGCAAATGCTTTTACTATATAGCTTTTACTATATAACTTGAGAGCTAACTGACTTTCGATACAATGATTATAAAATACTAACCGCCAAACACCATAAAATATTTTTTATTAAAGCATTTGACATTGTGTAGTGTACTAACGAAGTCAAAAATAGCTTAAATCACAGAAATAAATCCATTCTATTTTTTCAAAGCCTGCTGAGTAAATGTAGAATTAATTTATGAATAACTATATCTTTTATATTTAACGCTGGTGCTGGTTTCGTAAACATGAAAGAAAATATTGTCACTTCGTATGGGTGCTACTGACTAGCGGACGTCTATTACGGACCTTTATATGACTAGGTCGGGTGGCACCATCGGTTGGAAGGTGAGTAAAAACCCGGATATTTCTCATATTTATGTCCGTGCACTCGAAAATATTTACCGTGTTTGATGCGTATGTTTATAGGGATATCGCCTCTAAAGGTGCACGCGGTAAGGAGCGTAATCGCACGCAGGTGTAACCGAGCGTGGGACGGTGCCACCTGGCGCGCCCCTCTGCCTCTTCGCTGCCCTCCGCCCTCTCTGGCTCGTTAATGATGATGTGCTCAGCCAGCAGACTATTTCACTTCTGAATACATCTTTCTCACTTTTGATCCTCTCTCCCTTTTGCACTCGCGCGTTATCCTCGCCCCGTCCTCCTTTAGCCAGGTTCGCCCGGTCTCATCCACCTAGTCAATTCGGCAAACGCGTATCTACTTTGTGTCGGAAATGTAATGGAACAAATGCGGCTGGAATTAACGTCGGAACGAATGTCGGAACACGGGGTCGTTCTCTCATCGGATATTTTCCACGCGATGATTTTGATGCGCATCTACGCAGTTATAACGTTTGTGAAAGAATATCTATATCAACACAATAATAACGTACTATTTAGGTATTAATGCGAAATGACAAAGCGTTGTCAAGTACAAATTTAAGAAGCATACGTATATATAATTTATATATTTAACCTTTTCTTAAAATATAATGATATAAATATAGTTAAACGCACCAGTAAATAATATAATTTAATAAATTATTGTTTAATGCAGTGAAGCCATTCGACTAAATGGACTAAAGTTAACTAATAGTTGACTAACTTTAACTGCATTATTTAATTCGTTGTAGTATAACAAGGAAAACATTTTTTATGGATACAGTAATATTTATAACGGTTTTATTACTCGTAAGTCTGAGATTAATACGCTACAAATGTACAAGTCACGATTAGAAGGCGATATCTCCGTTAAGAAATTATAAAGACATCTTCGATCTTTACAAGACTGTTCTTGTACTTTACAAACAATAAGTATAGTTAATACGAAAACAATATAAAAAACAATGAAATAGTAAAAGAGCAGACTTCAAATTATTTTAATTACAATTTGATCGTAACACATTAAGTTTAGCGTAAGTTTGTGTCCACATAACTCAATACTTAGCCTATGGATTGACTTGACATGGAACGTTCATATTAAGCGAGCTTCAAATTCTTGGCTGTAATGTCTTGATTTGATTTGTAGAAAAATGGAAGAAAAGATGTAATATACAGAAAATAATAATAGATGGCGATAAGTTTGGCTTAAAATGCGAAAAAACAAAGTCGATTAAATGCGTTGAGATTTTTGTCGTCATGGCAATCTGCTATTTAACTTAGTGGTTAAAGGTATGGAAGCGTTTCCGAAAGACGAAGGTTAAATTCTCGCGGTAGTGAAAAACGTTTCGTCCATATATCCACATGTTTCCTCTTAAGTGGAAAGATTATCTCTAAAGTAAAAAAGTAACAGCCTCTATATTCTCACTGCTTGGCAAAGGACTCCTCTATACAGAGGGTATTAGGGCGTACTCCACCACTACGACTTAACATATTTACGAAATATTTTATAGTTTCACACGTGATTAGTCAGTACTAAAAATTTACAATTTCATTCGTACTGGCACTAGGATTTGAACCTAGATTGTTCGAATATTATGAATTAAAAGCGAGCTCCCGGTTATTGAGCTATTACGGCTCCTGAGTGATGCAGAAATTAGCGGAATTGACGTGCTAGACTCCCATTTAAACTTGTTCTTTAATTCAAATTTTAAATAACTTTAAATAAAATATAATTTGAAAATAAATAATTTCGAAAATATTTGTTTTGTTCACCCTACGTTATGGTTGTGCTTTTAACAAATTGATTTATAATTTATAAATAGATTATAAATCAATTTGTTAACGCAATAATAAATAACGTTGGTTTTGTTCCCTTTCTACTCCTAACCAGACCAATGCACGATTACCATCCCAACTGAAAGTAAGCAGTGATATGTACGTGGTTGAGCTCAATAC